AATTTTCTCCACTATCTTGATAGAAAATTTTACGTAACCTATATCAAGGCTTTTCATTCTCCTGTAAATTTTTTAAGGATTTCTTGTTTTTCCCTTTTTTTTTTGCATGTGAATGTGAGTAGAAAATTGGCATAGTTAAACTAAAAGTTGTAAAATGTTTTACAGGCTTGCTAAAAGGATATTATGGCTATAAACTAAAAGAAAATTAAGACAGATGGGTTGGTTCATGAATCTTACTTACTTAAATTGTTCAGATCTTTTCTTCTGTCAAAGAAAATTAGGTTGATTATAAGGTTTTTACAGAAAAATTTCTTTTCCCCTAGACTTATTTAAATATTTTATCAACTGAAATCTGTCAGGAATGTTAGAGATAAAGGAGATGTACAATGCACTTACGTAACATTTCCCATATCCAACTTATTTGGTAATCAAATTTATCATTTATCATTTTAATATATTAATATTTAGTACTGTTTATCCTCCTAATTTTATTTTTTACTTTTAGCAAAGTGTGGGATGCTGTCTCAGGAGATGAATTGATGACCCTGGCTCATAAACACATTGTCAAGACTGTGGATTTCACACAGGTATCAGAAAATGAAATTTATTTTAGGGAGTTAAATTGCTGTTGTTATACAGTGTGTTAATAGTTTTTTATTTGATTGGTTTGTATATTTGGTTTATATATTTTTTCATGGAATATTTTGTGTATATTGGTTTATATTTTATTTGATTGTATATTACTACAAATTTGTTTTTTTGTAGTTAATCCTATGAAGCTTTTAGGATACCCTGGGACTCTTCTAGCAATACTCCAGTAATAGTAATAAACATCTAAAAAGCCCAAGTAACTTTCCCCCCTTGTTTTAAAAGGGAGAAGATGAATGTGAGATCATCAGAAAAGGGCTTCTTAGGAGGTAGGGGAACAGGATCAGGGCAGAATGGGAGAATTCATGTGTAGGTAGTATAGTGTAACATTTTTGTCCTAGGAAGCGTAAAGGGCTTGACAATTATAAGAAGGACAGCTGTTCCACAGTGTCTTCTCCAGAAGTCATTGGTTATGTATTGTATCTCTTTGTGATGTCTGACCTAAATTTGGATTTTATTTGGTGTTGAAATTTTAAAGAGAGATAACTATTAAAATGGTTAATCTATTAACATTTTACTTGTGTTTTCAGGATAGTAATTATTTGTTAACCGGGGGACAGGATAAACTATTACGCATATATGACTTGAACAAACCTGAAGCAGGTAAGTATAATTTATGCATCAGTTTGTGGTTTTACTTTTCTTTTAATTTAAATAACTTTAACTCGGCCGGGCGTGGT